AAGACCCTAATGCTGGGAAAGATTGAAGGAAGTAGGAGAAGGGGAAAACAGAGGATGAGATGGTTGGATGGCATCACTTACTCAATGGACATGAGTTTGAGCAAGTTTCAGGAGTTGGTGATTTACAGGGAAAGCTGACGTTCTGAAGTCCATGTGATTGCAAAGAGTCAGACATGACTGAGTCACTGAACTGACTGGTTTGTCAGAAATTGCTTCACAGGACAGCATCCTTTCTGAAGAGGGGAGATGGTGTGATGACTACCTTAGTCATCCTGACATCTTAACCAGGCTGTTTGCCTGTGCCAAGAGGTTGAACTGGAGCGTACACAGTTGAATTTCCTAAGATTCACTAGTATAAAAAATCTAGCTTTTGTCCTTCCATTGATATCAATAGACCAGTTCATGGTGCATGGAATAGGAAAAGTCAATTTGATCTTCTCTTTGGACTGAATTGAATAATTTAGTTTGGTTTAGTTATTCAGAGGTTGTCCACTTTTTCCCTTAGTTTCCCATAAATATTCACAGTAAGTCTTCTCATAGAAGAAACAAAATTGAAACAGAAAGAGAATATGGAATAAGAAAATAAACATCTCTAAAAACCTTGGCTTGCTGCCATATCCCTAAGGTTATCAATTTTTTGAAGACCTAGAATTGGGATGAAAATACAGAGAGGACAAAAACTGTAATAAATGAGATTTATTGATCATTATCTCTAAAAGTACTTCTTTAAACAGAACAGACCTTAGATTCAATTGGTCTGTGGCTTCAGAAAAGCCACAGTCACTTTGCTACATGTGACATCATCACCACGACTAAGAAAAGTATCACCTTCTCTGATATATCCTTGGATAGTAGAAAACTGTTCCAGGGGTTAGAATGAGTGTCCTCTTAGGGTCCAATTTCATGAGGTTCTTAAGGTTTTTTAAGTCCTTAAATCTGTAATACACCATTCCCTCCTCCCCTGGCTGCTGTAACGCAGAGCATATGGAAATGTGAAAATAATGGACCTAGAGTTTATATTTGTTACAGATAAACTGGTAAGCACTTTATGTACTTAAACTCATTTGATTCCCACCAATATCATTTTATTTTTGGGGGCTCCAAAATCACTGCAGATGATGACTATAGCCATGAAATTAAAAGACACTTACTCCTTGGAAGAAAAGTTATGACCAACCTAGACAGCATATTAAAGAGCAGAGACATTACTTTGCCAACAAAGGTCTGTCTAGTCAAAGCTATGGTTTTTCCAGTAGTCATGTATGGATGTGAGAGTTGGACTATAAAGAAAACTGAGCACTGAAGAATTGATGCTTTTGAACTGTGGTGTTGGAGAAGACCCTTGAGAGTCCCTTGGACTGCAAAGAGATCAAACCAGTCAATCCAAAAGAAATCAGTCCTGAATATTCATTGGAAGGACTGATGTTGAAGCTGAAACTCCAGTACTTTGGCCACCTGATGCGAAGAACTGACTCATTGGAAAAGACCCTGATGCTGGGAAAGAGTGGAGGCAGGAGGAGAAGGGGACGACAGAGGATGAGGTGGTTGGATAGCATCACCAACTTGATGGGCATGAGTTTGAGTAAACTCCAGGAGTTGGTGATGGACAGGGAGGCCTGGTATGTTGAAATGCATTGGGTCTCAAATAGTTGACATGACTGAGAGACTGAACTGAACTGAACCATCCTTTTATAACATTGATATATCCCAGCTTTACTGAGATTAAAAGTAGGTGTAGGGTCTTACCATCCCTGTTAATTTTCAGGAGGGTACACCCTAAACACTCTTTAAAATTAAGTCTCAGATATCTCAATACCTGGCTAATGGAATTTCTCCTCCAAGTGTATCTTTCTGCAAACTGAAGAATTGTTCTGCCTTGTGAAAGATCACCATGTGCTTTCAGGTGAAAGACTTTATCCTAGAATTTTTGCATTTATTCATATGAACATGGACTTTGGATAGAATTCTCAAATGGTGTGTTCCAAATAGGTTATAAGCATATCAAAACAATGATTCCCCTTATTTCTCAGGACATTAGGACTTGGGTCACTTGCTTCTGGGTCAACATGCTTCTTGCTGTTTACACATCATTGTCTCTGTGCCATAGTGAGACAGAGGTACAGAAGCACTGGCCGTGGTGAGGTTGGCTATCAGATGGGCCTGAAATCCAATCAGATGGGGGGAATTGTGTGTGTGGCTTGGATTAGGCTCTTTGGAATTCCTAGGAATGTAGAAGGAAGATATGAGATTGGCTTCAAGGAAGGGATGTTTATTGCACCCCAGAATCTTCTATTTTCTTCTTTAGAGTGTTGACTTTTTGCTCAGATCCTATGTTTGCTTTCTGCCAACTTTTGTAAAGAGTTTGAGAGAGCTGGCAATAAATAAAATATTCATAAATGTATATACATAGATACTTATAAATGTATAATAAAATAGGTTTTGTGTATAAACCTATACAATGTGTGCATATATATACATATGTTTATATAATATAATAATTAATCCAGTATAAGACTGGCTACAGTATGATCTTCATGTAGAAAGAAAACTCTTAGAGAAAGTCAAATTGTATTGCTTCAGAATTTAAGGGCATGAAATCTGAAGGACAGAACCTAACTGGGGATCTTTTGAAAGCAATAGTTACTGATCTTTAATGGGCACCCAAGGAAAAAGCATTGGCATAACTGCCTTCATTTTGATCTCACGTCTGCTTCCCAGGTTGTCTGCCAGGCTGGATTGTCATTAAAGGCCCTTAACTGTGTAGAAACAGATGATTGAAACTGGTGAATATTGTCCAGTCAAGTGATGTGAATCTGCTAATAAAACAAACAAACAAAAGACTGTAATTTGAATTTTTTTCCTGATTGATATTTCAGCAGGTTTTTTCTCTAACAATTAATGATGACACCCCTAGTGACTTTCAAGACCAGACATGGAAGCAGTGAGCAGGACCCTCTTCATGAGCACAAAGGGTGTAACAGGGTGGGATGCACAGTTAATCCAGTAACTATAACATTGTTCATCTGTAGGTCTAATAGGAGCGAGGTCAGACAGCTCTGTTTTTCTCCATTTATGACTGGAATTTGCTTCTTCAAGGTTGCATTCCTCTTCACCCTGAGTTTTGTATTGATACCATGGCACAGATGAGAGAAGCAGGAAAAGCACATGGATCTCCATCCAGATAATGCAGTTTGCTTCACAAGGGCTCCTGGCTACAGAGTAACAGTTCTGGGAGTTTCCTCCTCTTTCCAGGCTCCTCTTCCTGCAACTGTGGCTCTTGGATTTCCTGAGTACAAACCATTCCTATCTTTCTCCGTGACCTGCAGTCCTTCCTGTAAAAACTTAGGGCAGCCACTTGCCCTCCAAGCTTCATGTTTCTTATCTATAAATGGGAATGATAGTTCTTACTTTTCTCATTCACAAGACAGTTGTGAAGATCCTCTGAAAAACTGATCTGGAAGAGCTGTGCAATGATAACCCGAATCTCTGTGATACAGACACTACCCCACTAACCCATTCCATAGAGATGTGCCGGGGCCAGTCCTGAGTGACAAGGAGGGGGAGACCCTGGGCTGGAGAGCATGGGATGCAGGTGCTGGTGCTGAGAGGACTCAGAAAAACCAGTGCTAACTCAGACAAGCATCTAAACCTCCTCCTCCTGCCTCTTTTTTGGTCAAAATTTGTATGAAGTATGATTACTACCTGCAAATTATTCATGCTACTCTGTTAAACCAGCCTGTGAAATTCAGTTATCAGTCTCTTAGATTTCTCAAAAAGGTGTTCATATATTCTTCCCTGTGTTTCCTCTGCCCTCTCTGCCTTTGCAGATTGTCATGGATTTGTCACTACCTGAGATCACAAACTTCAGAAGCCTTGACCCAGACCATGTGAATCTCCATGTCCCCAGTACTGACCCCACTTCCATAGCAGGCAGACACTAAGTGTTGATTGCATTCCTGTTGCCTGAAGTTGTCCACCATGATATCATACTTTTCCTTATAAAGATGGATATTCAAAGCAGCAGCATGTAATATTTGGTTTCTATTCTTTCTGCCATCATTTTAGATCAAGGTCATGTCTGAACATAAAATCACATTATGGGATGAGATGATTAAATGAATATTCACAGAATTCTTGGCATAATGCCTTATGTACAGTAAACATCTGATAAATGGTATCTGCTGGTGTTATAATCATTAGACTTTGAAATGGACATTTTACATACTTAGCATAATGGTGGAAAGTTGGATGTATGTTGGGGGCAAGCTTAAATGTGTCATAATATTTCATGACATGGGCTCTGCAGGTTTGCAGCTTAGGCTTTGGAGTTGTGATCAAGTTGTTTTTCTTCTCCATGTGCCTCAGTGTCTCCATCTGTAAAATGAGATAATATTGTTACTACATAGGGCTATTGTGAGGATTAATGAATTAATACACAAGAAGTGTTGAATGTGTGGTGCTGTACACAGTCAGCACTCAGTAAATGTTAACTATGGATAAAAAACCAAAACACAGAATTCCTACTTCCAAAGATCAATATTTGAATTTTTTCCTACTTTTCTGGACACTGAATTTATAATCAATTTATAATCACTTTTATATCCTGATATGTATAGCTGAGACTTCTGGATTCCTCATCTGTGATACCTGCTTGCTCATCTCTAGTAACACCTATTGACTCCTGATAGTTTGGTATTCAAGTCTTTTTCCCTGGGAGTTTCAAATATTCTCTCATCTGTTAAAAGTAGTAATGCCTGCCTCATAGGGCTACTGAGTGTACCAAAGGAGCTAATACCTGAAAAGGTCTCTTCATAATGTTTGACACATGCAATAAATACCACGAGGACCACGTATTATTTTATTTCTTTGGATGGGAAAACATTCCCTATTATTCCAACACATCTTTTAGGAAAAGAGTTTAATCCTAACAAAACATTAAAGCTTATCTTTGAAAAAAATCCTTGACAAAGATGCCTCTGTATCTATTTTCACTATTTCAGACATTTCTACTTGTGATTGGTATAGTAGGCGTGATGGTGGCAGTGACTCCTTGGATTGCAATACCCGTGATTCCCCTTGGTATTGCTTTCTTTTTTCTCCAGCGATATTTCTCAGAGACTTCACTAGATGTTAAACGCCTGGAATGTGCAAGTGAGTACGGGACTCTCAGGTTGGTTTGGCAAAGTAGGCTGGCTTTCCTTTATGGCATTTCATTAACCAGACCCCTGAAATCCTGCAGACTGTCTTCTGGAATTTCTCACTAAGTTAATGATAGGTAATTGAATATTATGGGCCCTGTTCAGTGTGGCCCTTAAGGTGGCAGGTCGGCTGTAGCTTTGTATTTTAGCACAAAGAGGTGAGTTTGCCCTGCCACATCCTGATTCCAGGGAACTGTTTACCTCCTGCTTCTTAGACATCCCAGATCCACTACTTTTCTGGGTGGAATCCTGGGAAGACTAGTTTTTGCAGGCACCTGGGGGTCATCACTGGCTTTCAAATAGAGCTGCATCCTAACCATCAGAGACAGTCTAACATCTCTCCATTTCACGGACAGGAAGGCTGAGGCACCACGTATTGACTAGTTCAAGGGCAGCTTCCCAGTTGGTGCTAGTGGTAAAGAATCTACATGTCAATGCAGGAGACATAACAGATACAGGTTCAATCCCTGGGTCAGAGAGATCTCCTGGAGAAGGAAATGGCAACCCACTCCAGTATTTTTGCCTGGAGAATCCCACAGAGAGAGGAGCCTGGTGGGCTACAGTCCATGAGGTCGCACAGAGTCAGACACAACTGAGCGATTTCGCAGCAGCAGCAGGTGAATTTGAGCACCATGAGGATAGGGACCATTTATGTCTTGTTCATGATATACTTTCTAACAGAGCAGCCACTCCATAAATACTTTTCTTAAAAATAAAATATTTCATTACTCTGGAATGAATGTACAAGGAAAAGAGGGGATTTTTCTTACCCCAGAGTTACTAGATATGACACAGAAAGGAAAAAATTAGGAAAAGGAAAGGAGGTATCAGGAAATACACTCATATACCAGAAATGATACATTTGAAATATTCACTTTTTCACATACCTAAAAAATGGCAAGTAAGTTGCAGTTGTTAAATGTTTGGAAAAGCTAAGTGCTGTTATTTTCAGGTTTACCCTTTATCATCAATATTATTTGGGGTGAACACACTGTTTGTGTTCTACCATCCCCAAAGCTATTCATATAAATGATGCTGAAAAGAATCCCCTTAGAAGGACAGAGGATGGGATCTGTTCAGTAGACATGTAGTCTATTATTCCATCTACCTTTGTAGCTTTAGAATGATGGGGAACACATTTTATGATTGATCCTTCTGTTCTACAGATATTCACAGAGGATAGATTCATTCAGAGCTTATCTCATTAATGCACAAACATATTTCATTAATAATAAAAATTATAAGAAATCATAAGGAAAGTAGAATTGTTAAATGTATTTTTTAAAAGTATACCTTTTGGCAAGAGCCAAAAAAAAAGGAAGACATTTATATTGATATCACAAACCTTAACCATGGATAGTTACTAGTGAACTTTCCAGAAATCAAGCCAAGAAGAGAAGTATATTGAGTTTCATGATTCTTAGTATCTAATAGATACAGAGTGGAAAAAAAAAAATCTAAGTTTATCAAAACAAAAGATTTTTATTGTGGTATTTGCATGTTTTGTTTTTAATAATAAACTCTTAAGAGGCATTTATCCTAAGTATTTGCATAATAGAGAGTGGTTGTCGGTTTCATAAAAACTGTAGAAAAATTTTTGGTCATCAGGAGAATCAGCTAAACTTCCATGAGGTCTGGTCTTAAGAGGTATTTGAATAGGATGCAGAGCAGTAGAGTCCAGGTTGTGTGATGTCCTGCTGATGTGACTTGGTAGGATGGTAGGACATGGGGAGGCAGAAAAGGAAGTGAAGAACTCCATCCAGTCTTCTGTAGACAAGGCCTCACATGTTTTATGATTTGAGGTTGCTCATGAAATGGAGTTGGGCTTCCCAGGTGCACTAGTGATAAAGAATCCTTCTGAAATGCAGGAGATGCAAGAGACACAGGTTCAGTGCCTTGGTCAGGAAGATCCCCTGGAGTAGGAAGTGTCACCCCACTCTGGTAATCTTGCCTGGAAAGCTCTATGGACAGAGGAGATTGATGGGCTACAGTCCATGGAGTCACAAAGAGTCAGACACAACTGACCACCATGAAATGGAGCCATTCAACAGTCTTGTTGCAAAGCAGGTCTCCGGTACATTCAAAGAGGAGTTGTTCCACAAGGAACGTGTGACTGAGATTTATGCCTGGGGAAAGGGCCACTTCCCATCCACAAGAAAGTAGAGAGGTGGGTACTTCCTAAGGCTTTTTTTTTTTTTTTCATTTATTTTTATTTGTTGGAGGCTAATTACTTTACAATATTGTAGTGGTTTTTGTCATACATCGACATGAATCAGCCATGGATTTACATGTATTCCCCATCCCGATCCCCCCTCCCACCTCCCTCTCCACCCGATCCCTCTGGGTTTTCCCAGTGCACGAGGCCCGAGCATTTGTCTCATGCATCCAGCCTGGGCTGATGATCTGTTTCACCCTAGATAATATACATGTTTCGATGCTATTCTCTCGAAACATCCCACCCTCGCCTCTTCCTAAGGCTTTTTAAAGAGGAAGTACTGGGTTTTAAAACTGTTTTTAGAAACCATTCCCAAGAAAGAGAAATGCAAAAAGGTTGTTAAAGGAGGCATTACAAGTAGCTGAGAAAAGAAGAGAAGCTAAAGGCAAAGGAGCAAAAGAAAGATATACCCATCTAAGTGCAGAATTCGAAAGAATAGCAAGGAGAGATAACAAGGAGAGAGCCTTCGGCAGTGATCAGTGCAAAGAAATAGAGGAAAACAATAGAATGGGAGAGACTAGAGAGCTCTTGAAGAAAATTAGAGATACCAAGGGAACGTTTCATGCAAAGATGAGCACAATAAAGGACAGAAATGGTATGGACCTAACAAAAGCAGAAGATATTAAGAAGAGGTGGCAAGAATACCCAGAAGAATTGTACAAAAAAGATCTTCATGACCCAGATAACCACGGTGGTGTGATCACTCACCTAGAACCAGACATGCTGGAATGTGAAGTCAAGTGGGCCTTAGGAAACTTCACTAGGAAGAAAACTAGTGGAGGTGATGGTATTCCAGTTGAGCTATTTAAAATTCTAAAAGATGATGCTGTGAAAGTGCTACACTGAATATGCCAACAAATTTGGAAAACTCAGCAGTGGCCAAAGGACTGGAAATGGTCAGTTTTCATTCCAGTCCCAAAGGAAGGCAATGCTAAATACTGTTCAAATTACCACACAATTGCACTCATCTTACACACTAGCAAACTCATGCTCAAAATTCTCTAAGCCAGGCTTCAACAATACATGAACCATGAACTTCCAGATGTTCAAGCTGGATTTTAAAAAGGCAGAGGAGTTCAGTTTAGTCTCTCAGTTGTGTCCGCCTCTTTGCGACCCCATGAGTCGCAGCACACCAGGCCTCCTGTCCACCACCAACTCCCAGAGTCTACTCAAACTCATGTCCATCGAGTCGGTGATGCCATCCAACCATCTCATCCTCTGTCGTCCCCTTCTCCTCCTGCCCCCAATCCCTCCCAGTATCAGGTCTTTTCCAATGAGTCAACTCTTCGCATGAGGTGGCCAAAGTATTGGAGTTTCAGCTTCAGCATCAGTCCTTCCAATGAATACTCAGGACTCCAGTATCAGGTCTTTTCCAATGAGTCAACTCTTCGCATGAGGTGGCCAAAGTATTGGAGTTTCAGCTTCAGCATCAGTCCTTCCAATGAATACACAGGACTGATCTCCTTTAGGAAAAGACAGGGGAACCAGAGATCAAATTGCCAACATCGGTGGATCATCGAAAAAGCAAGAAAGTTCCAGAAAAACATCTGCTTCTGCTTTACTGACTATGCCAAAGCATTTGACTGTGCGGATCACAACAAACTGTGGAAAATTCTTAAAGAGATCGGAATACCAGATCACCTGACCTGCCTGTTGAGAAACCTGTATGCAGGTCAGGAAGCAACACTTAGAACTGGACATGGAACAACAGATTGGTTCCAAATAGGAAAAGGAGTACATCAAGGCTGTATATTGTCACCCTGCTTGTTAAACATTTCCAGAGTACATCATGTGAAATGCCAGGCTGGATGAAGCACACGCTGGAATCAAGATTGCCAGGAGAAATATCAATAACCTCAGATATGCAGATGACACCACCCTTATGGCAGAAAGCAAAGAGGATCTAAAGATAGCCTCTTGATGAAAGTGGAAGAGAAGGGTGAAAAAGTTGGCTTAAAACTCAACATTGAAAATACAAAGATCATTGCATCTGGTCCCATTACTTCCTGGCAAGCAGATTCGGAAACAGTGGAAACAGTGACAGACTTTATTTCCCTTGGCTCCAAAATCACTGCAGATAGATGGTGACTGCAGCCATGAAATTAAATGATGCTTACTTCTTGGAAGAAAAGCTTTGACAAACCTAGATAGCATATTACAAAGCAGAGACATTATATTGTTGACAGAGGTCTGTCTAGTCAAAGCTATGGTTTTTCCAGCAGTCATGTATATATGTGAGAGTTGGACTATAAAGAAAGCTGAGCACTGAAGAATTGATGCTTTTGAACTGTGGTGTTCGAGAAGACTCTTGAGAGTCTCTTGGACTGCAAGCAGATCCAACCAGTCCATCCTAAAGGAAATCAAACCTGAATATTCATTGGAAGAACTGATGCTGAAGCTGAAACTCCAATACTTTGGCCACCTGATGCGAAGAACTGATTCATTGGAGCAAACTCTGATGCTGGAAGAGATTGAAGGCAGGAAGAGAACAGTACGACAGAGGATGAGTGGGTTGGAAGGCATCACCGACTCAATGTACATGAGTTTGAGTAAGCTCAAGGTGTTGGTGATGAACAGGGAAGCCTGGAGTCCTGCAGTCCATGGGGTCGCAAAGGATTGGACATGACTGAGCAGCTGAACTGAACTGACTGGATTATCTCAGCATTTGATCTGGAGAGTCTGAGAACTTTGGCCCCATCCCTGTGGAATATTGGGATTTTCTATTTGCACCCTAGTATGCTGCAAGAACATTAGACAGCAAATTATTCAGTCCAGATAACACCCACACACACCCCATATAAGCAAATGTGGTGACCAGTTGATTAGAACTGTTTGTGCTCTCTCTCTAGGTGGTGGGTCTGTGCCATGAATAATACCATTGTTTTCTTGAAATGTAACTGATGATATGTCTGCAAAATAGGTCCTTGTTGGTTATTTGTTTTAAATAGAGCAGTATGTATATGTCTATCCCAAACTCCCTAACTATCTCTTCCTCCCATCCTTCCCCCCAGGAACCATAAGTTCATTGTCTCAGTCTGTGAGTCTCTTTCTGTTTGGAAGTAAGTTCATTTATTTCATTTTTTTTAGATTCCACATATAAGGGATGTCATATGATATTTCTTCCTCTCTGACATACTTAATTCAGTAAGTAATGACACTCTTGGTCTATCCATGTGGCTGAAAATGACATTATTTCATTCTTTTTAATGGTCTAAACAACTCTGCATTTAGCAGTGCCTGAATGATGAAGCCATATCCAAATTCTGTCTGAAAGGCTTCTGTGATTGGCTTGCAGTGTCCACCACAGGCATTGCTGGCAGTAGGCTAGCACATTTGTCATGTGTATTCAGACTATGGATCCTCACCTCTGCTGTTTTAAGTGTTCTCATACCAGATTCCCATGGCCTTTATTCAACTTCAGGCAGATACACAAACATTCGTCAGGTTCCCCAAACGGACATCAGGACCATTCAAAGACCCCTCCTCTGTCACATACTGTGGGCACAAGGGCGGTGCAGTACCGGGTGCTCCGTGACCCGCACAGAGACTCCTGGCGCAGGTGTGGGGAGAGTCCCGGATGGGGGAGATGGCAGACTGTCCGCTCCCTTACTCGTCTCACCCTGTCCTGGGTCTGGCTCTGCTCCAGGGTGGGGGATGTACTGACTCTGTCCCAGCCCTTAGGTTACTCATCTGAGGTGGAGACAGCACACAGGTAGCTCATCAAAATTCAAGGTGGGGAGGACTCTTGTGAGGAATTAAATTTTGAAGTGCTACTGACTCAAAAATTACTAGTCGTTACTCAGTCATGGAAAAGAATGAAATGTTGCCACTTGCAGCAACATGGATGGACATAGAGGGATATTATTCTTGGTACAGAAAGTAAGAAAAATAATATATGGTATCTCTTCTATGTAGAATCTAAAGAATGATATAAATGAATATATACAAAACAGAAATAGACTCAGAGACAGAAAGCAAACTTAGTTGCCATAGGGCAAAGAGAGGAAAGGAGCGACAGATTAGGAATATGGAATCAGCAAGTACACACTGCTGCACACCAAATGGGTAAGGAGCATGAATGTACTGTACAGTGCAGGGGATTTTGCTCAATATCTTGTAATAGCCTATCTAGGGACAGTTCTAGCCTCACTTGTGCTCATATTTAGTTGCTCAGTCACGGCTAACTCTTTCAACCCTATGGACTGTAGCCCACCAGACTCCACTGTCCATGGGATTCTCTAGGCAAGAATAGTGAAGTGGGTTGCCACTTCCTCCTCCAGGGGATCTTCTCGACCCAGGGATCAAACCCACATTTCCTATGTCTCCTACATTGCAGGTGAGTTCTTAAACTGCTGAGTCATCCTACAGTGGATTATTATCAGAAAAAAATAATCTGCATCACTATGCTGTATACTTGAAACATATCATAATTCAACCATACATACATATGTATATAGGTAGATAGATAGATACATATATATATTTTTTAATTTGGAGGGGTGTATACTGAGGAGGACCTTGATGAATGAGCTAGTAAAGAATTTCTTTATCTAAATCTAGCTGTGATTTGAATGTGGTTTAAAAAAAAAGGGTTCAAAGAGACTCTTTCATTTTCAGGTTGTTAAAGTGAAGGTTTGTGTGAGCAGGAATTCGAGGGTCATGTGGAGGATCCTCTTTGAAGGGGCGTCATCCTTCCTCTCGCAGGCAGCCCTCCAGGAAGCCCCGGGTGTGCCCTTTGGCGGGTGTGTGACCACAAAGCCCAGGAGGCAGTGGTTTCCTCGCAGCCATCCTCACTGACTTTCTCTGTCGTGTGTCTGTCTCTGCTTCCCCAGCTCGGAGCCCGGTGTTTTCCCACTTAGCATCTTCTCTCCGGGGACTGTGGAGCATCCGGGCGTACAAAGCTGAAAAGAGTTTTCAGGAGCTGTTCGATGCACACCAGGACTTGCATTCAGGTGTGTAAGTTTCTGGAGATGATTTTTCTAAGGATGGGATGTTCTGCCTCCCGAGGCCTGACCTCCCTCTCAGGTGGCCTGGCTGGCCAGCACCTTCTTGTGCCGCCCCACGGCCCCCTCTGCACACCTGCCTCCCCCACCCCTTCCTCTCACCATCCCCTCTGTGCGCCCCTCTTTCCTTCCACCCCCTGCTTGCTCCCCTGACTGGCTTGTATTGTCCTTGCATCACTGTGCCGTGTGGTTTTCTGTCTCCTTAGGGCAGGAGTCAGCAAAGAGCCAGCTTTGTGTGCTGTCCTGTGTCTGTTGTAACTTCTCAGGTTGCCTGTTGCAGCACAAAGGACGGCAAAGGTGAAATACATCAGCAAATGGCCGTGCCTGTGATCCACTAAAACTTCACTTATGGAACCAGGTGCTGGCCATTCCTGGCCTCCAGGCTGTAGTTGTCAGCTCTCTTTTCAGAGCATGTCAAACCTGACTGAGGAAAGTAATTTCCTGATCATCATATTAGCTGTTCTCTTCATGTATATTTTTCTTTATTTCAGTGAAGGTTTGTTCTAGAAGAAATTCTAGTAGAAATTCCAGAATTTACTCTAAGTCTATAAAATCCTGGCCTATATCTTCAATCTGTATTGTATTTTGAAGAGAAGATGGCATTTTAAAAGCCGCATGCAGGTCCTGTGAGCCGATGGTTATTTACACACTGGCTCTGAAGAGTAAACACTGTGCATGGCCCTGTAGGAATTGCAGAAGGTGCTGGAAACAGTGTGAGCTGTGCTCTCTGCTATCAGAGAGCTGGGAATAGTCAACGTGTGAGAGGGTGATCTTCAGGTGGAGGCCCAGCCCTGAAGGAAACGCACTGATGAGACTTTTTCCATCTTCTTTCTCCGATGAAATTTCTGTTTATAACCTGTGGATTGAATTTTTCAGTGCATGCTTCCCACAGAGCCCCTGGACTGATTCCTGTGTGTGTCAAATGGTGTCGTGTCAAAATCTAGCTTTCTGGACTCTTTGGGCTCCTTGGGTGTATAACTTTGCTATCCTACCTGTGTAAAAATCTTCTGTTGCTCAACTGAACAAAATTCTCATTTGAAGCAGCTAACATGGCTGTTCTACTGATTTATTATACTTATTACGGTTCACAAATGCAGAGGCTTGGTTCCTGCTTTTGACGACGTCCCGATGGCTTGCTGTGTATCTAGATGTCATCTGTGCCGTCTTTGTCACTGTTGTTGCCTTTGTGTCCCTGATTCTTGCAGATGGTAAGTATAGATGTGAGTAACTACTTATAATATGAATACAGTTTATAGTTTCATTTACATTTATTAAATAAAGCTCTTGCTGTCTTGTCTAGTATATACTGTTTTACTCTAACGAATTAGTGTTTGCAGTATAGGATTCCACCGTGTGGTCTATATGAAATCATTTGTGTCTTGATGAGACCTTTCTATCTCTTTCTTTGAATGGGTTGAGGTCTATGCAAATGTAGCAAGCTGACTTGCTGAACATTCCAGGTAGTGTTGGGAAGAGAAAACCAAGTTTACTATTATATTAAGGTTTTGTCCAGTTAGCTTTAGGGCTACTTGGATCTCTTAGTTGCAGGTGCCTGATTCACTGAGGTGAGAAAGATTCTCTGTAGGAAAGGACAATCTCTTCTCTGCTGTGTGGGTACCAGATGAGCAGGTATTGGCATCTGTGCCATGAATTCACCATCTCTATTCCATAGTAATGGCACTGAATCAAAATCTTTAATAAGGAGCAATGAGAGTAGCTGTTTAGAGTTGAAAGCACTGGCTCTTAGAACCCATTGTCTTGTTTTACCTGGTTTCAACTGCAGCTCCCTTGAATGTAGAAAGTGAAATTTACACAAAGGTTCTTGAAACCCTAATGATGAAAGTGAGAATAATGACATGGTTCCTCACCTTTGTAATGCTGTCAAGTGTGTCCATCCTGTTGGGATTAATAAACTCATTTTGTAGTCTTTTTGAAATCAAAGTGTTTTTTTCATTGTATCATGGTGTCAATCAAGACATACTAAAGGTACGTGTCATATTGTCATTATATACAAATGATTTAAATATTATAAAGGAGCCTTCTTCATAAAGTGACAGAAGGAGCTAGGTGAGGGGTTAACAACAGGACTGACTCTTTTCTCCTTCTTTCTTGTTTAGCTTTGACTCCCGGGCAGGTTGGCCTGGTCCTGTCTCTTGCCCTCACACTCACGGGGATGTTCCAGTGGTGCGTCAGGCAAAGGATGGAAGTTGAGAACCTGGTGATGTTTATTTTAACCTTCTTAGCCCTTTCAAGTCTCCTTGCCATTAAATGCCATAAAAGCAATTCTTATGTAAAATATTAAAGCTGTTATTTTTACATCATAGCTAACAGAGTTTTTTATATCCTCCTCCATGTGGTTAAAGTCAATGTAAAATAAAACATATACATATTATCCTTACTATACACATTATCCTTAATCTAATGTATGTCATGTCGGCAGGTTTTATATTCATTGTAAGCTGTCTTCAAGTAAAATAAATGGCTCTTCATTATTATACTCTTTAGGTATAATGAAAGTAGGGGGAAGGTTCTGAAATTCTAGAGAGAATATATGCTAATTTCTTAGAAACTTGTTTATTTTTGTTTCTTAGTGGATAATTCCTCATTCTTGGTAAAATGACTCAGTATTTTGAGGATTTTTTTGTTTGTTTAATTAATAGGTACACTGCTTCATTGTAGCATTTATTCCTGTATGTGTTGAACATCTGGATTTGCTAGTGTTCCTTCTTTCTGGTAGGATAAGCTGCTTCTCAGAATGGCCTTTCTGTAGCCACACGTTACAGATTGGTGTCCATAAGTATTCTTTTCTTTAACAAAACTCTCTTTTTTCTTTTATCCATATGTGAAAAGTAGGTAAATAAAACTTTTATCATTCAGTTCTGTAATTCTTTTAGATTCAATATGATGTTTAAGGATGAAATTCTAAACGAAAGTGTTACGAGATGATGAATAAGTTTCAAAATCATCAAAAGTGTCATCAAATTCCTATTTCTGTCCTTTGGGAATGATAAGATGTGAGATATTTTAAACCAATTATACATAAAAGCAGAACATCTCATTTACAATCTCTGAACACCTGTAAGCGAGACCCTCTGTCCTGACCCACATGATGTCATGTGTCTTTCAGATGATTTCAGTAGAAAGAGTGATGGAATATTTAGACCTTGAGGAAGAAGCTCCCTGGGAATACAAGGATCATCCCCCGCCTCCATGGAGTAATGAAGCAAGGATTAGGTTTAACGCTGTTAACTTCAAGTATACCGTAGATGGGCCTCTGGTACTGAAGAACCTGACCGCAACCATTGAAGCAACAAAAAAGGTTTGTTTAACCCAGTTGTCTTTTTTAAATCCAGCTAAAGATTTAGCACCATATTTGTTCTTGGCTTCTTGTTGCTGTGTCAGGGGACTCTTTGTTCCTCATGGATGCACGTTCAATAAGTTGCTTCAGTTGTGTCCGAGTCTTTGTGACCCCATGGACTGTAGCCCACCAGGCTGCTCTGTCCATGGAATTCTCCAGGCAAGAATACTGGAGTAGGTTGCCATTTGCTCCTCCAGGGGACCTTCCCAAACCAATGATCAAACCCACATCTCTTAAGTCTCCTGCATTGGCAAGCAGGTTCTTTACCCCTGGTGCCACCTGTGAAGTCATATAGTGACATAATAAGTGCATCATTCTTGGAAATTGACCATGGAAGGGGCATCCCACATATCTTTGTGTTGCGAGATCCCTCATGATGGTTGGAGGGCTCTGGACCCTGGAGCTGGAACTTAACCTGAGCCGGGATACTGTATATTTTACCTGATTATTCATGAGGAGTGCTGGAAGTCAGCCCTGGCTCCCTGTCCCTAACTCTCCCATATCTCATTTCTTGCCATCTTTGCTTCTTTGTACTTCTGGACTCTTCTCTTCCTCCCATGATACTTTCAGTTGCAGCCTCCCCCTCTATCCCTTGGCCCTTCTGACTGGTCCTCCACTCACCCACCCTTGGCTGTCATCGCCCTGCTCTCACTCCAAGGCTGCTGCTTTCTTTAGCACAGATCTGATCCTTACTGGCCTGGGTAAGATGGTGCTCAGACCATAGTTCAGCCCCAGGTCCACTCCAAATAGAGGCTGTGTGGCCATCAGAGAAGCGCCTAGGATCGTAATCAGGGCCGAGGAACCAAAGCCCCCCGTGGAGGCAGGGCCCAGACCTTTGCTTAAAGTTGGTGAAAGCAACCCAAAAGGAGCAGAGGAGGATCCATGTGAGAGATGACAGAGAGGTTTGTGTCCTGGTCCTGCCAGCATCCATGTCTGCTGGTGATGTTCCTTTCACACTCAGCTTGGGCCCCTCAACTCAGACCAGGAGAGACGCTTGAAGAAGAGACTAAACCTGAACAGACAAAGTCATAGGAAGCTCACCACCTATCTCGCTATCCTTGGGTCCTAACATTCCCACCCCCTCTGCACTCAGCTCCTGTGTAGATTCTCCCAAAGCAACATGTCCTCCCTGCATCCAGTGTACACATGCTGCCCATTCCCTTCTGTCATGAGGCTGGTGAAAAATCTCCTCATATTCTGAGTGAAAGTGTTACTCGCTCAGTCATGTCTGACTCTTTGCGACACCATGGACTGTGTGTCCATGGCATTCTCCAGGCAAGATTATTGGAGTGGGTTGCCATTCGCTTGTCCAGGGGATCTTTCCCACCCAGGAATCAAACCCGTTTCTCCCACATCGCAGCCAGATTCTTTACCATCTGAGCCACCAGGGAAGCCCCTGCACCTTCTGAGTTAATCCTAATGTATCTGCTTCTGTAAGATCCTTGATTTTTCACCAGCATTATATATATTCTTTAAAGATAGCATGTGTGGTATACCTATGTTCATAGCAGTATTATTCACAGTAGCCAAAAGTTGGAAGCATCCCAAGTATTAATATCTATCATCAAATGAGTGGATAAGCAAATCCTTACAATATAGTATATCCCTACAATGAAATACTATTATTCAACCTCAAAAAGAAAGAAAATTCTAATCTATAGGTGAGCCTTAAGGACATCATGTTAAGTGAAATAAGCCAGAAACAAAAGGATTGAATACTATATGATTCCATGTATGAGAATCCTAGAGCAGTCAAGTTTATAAAGACAGACAGTAGAATATTGGTAGCCAGGGACTGGAATAAAAAGGATGGGGAGCTGAGTTTTTTGGGTACAGAATTTCAATTTTACATGACAGGAAATATTCTGGAAATTGGTTGCAAAAAACTGTGAATGCACTTAACACTAAGCTGTCCTCTTAAAAATTGTTCAATTCAGGTCAGTCATTTGGTTATGTCTGACTCTTTGTGACTCCATGGACTGTAGCACACCAGGCTTCCCTGTCCATCACCAACTCCCGGAGCTTGCTCAAACTCATGTCCATTGAGTCGGTGATGCCATCCAACCATTTCATCTGCTGTCGTTCCCTTCTCCTCCTGCCTTCAATCTTTCCCAGCATCGAGGTCTTTTCAAATGAGTCAGTTCTTCACATCATGTGGCCAAAGTACTGGAGTTTCAGCTTCAGCATCAGTCCTTCCAATGAATATTCAGGACTGATTTCCTTTAGGGTTCATTCCAGACTGATTCCTGGTTAGATCTCCTTGCAGTCCAAGGGACTTTCAAGAGTGTTCTCCAGTACCACAGCTCAGAAGCATCAATTCTCTGGTGTTCAGCCTTCTTTATTGTCCAACACTCACATCCATACATGTCTACTGGAAAAACCATAGCTTTGACTATATGGACATTTGTTGGTAAAGTAATGTCTCTGCTTTTTAATATGCTGTCTAGGTTGGTCATAGCTTTTCTTCCACGGAGCAAGCCTATTTAATTTCATGGCTGCAGTCACCATCTACAGTGATTTTGGAGCCCCCCCCAAAATAAAGTCTGTCACTGTTTACATTGTTTCCCCATCTATTTGTCATGAAGTGATGGGAACAGATGCCATGATGTTCATTTTCTGAATGTTGAGTTTTAAGCCAGCTTTTTCACACTCCTCTTTCACCTTCATCAAGAGGCTCTTTAGCTCCTTTTCTCTTTCTTCCATAAAGGTGGTGTCATCTGCATATCTGAGGTTTTTGATATGTTCTTCCTGCAATCTTGATTCTAGCTTGTATTTCATCCAGCCTGGAATTCTGCATGTTATACTCTGCATATATGTTAGATAAGCAGGGTGAAAATATACAGCCTTGACATATATTGGTATAGTCAGTAAAGCAGAAGTAGATGTTTTTCTGAAACATTCTTGCTTTTTCTTTGATGCAACGGATGTTGACAATGTGATCTCTGGTTCCTTTGCCTTTTTTAAATCCAGCTTAAACATCTGGAAGTTCTCGGTTCATGTACTGTTGAAGCCTAGCTTGGGGAATTTTGAGCATTACTTTGCTAGCATGTGAGATGAGTGCAGTTGTGCAGTAGTTTGAACATTCTTTGGCATTGCCTTTCTTTGGAATTGGAATGAAAACTGACCTTTTCCAGTCCTGTGGCCACTGCTGAATTTTCCAAATTTGCTGGCATATTGAGTGCAGCACTTTCACAGCATCATCTTTTAGGATTTGAAATAGAAATTGTTAAGCTGGTAACTTTTATGTTACATGTTTTACCAGAATTAAAATAAAAGGTATCGTCTGTGGCAGGGTTTGTAATTTTCATCTGTATCTCACAGAACTCTGAGGCTTTTTAAGATCAGATAACATCTTGTTTTCATCTCTGTTCCCCAGGAAGTGGCATTCTGCAGGGCACAGTGAGAGTACTGAGGGACTGCTGGCTGGGAGAGTGAGTGAGTAACACACAGGTCTGAGCAACCAGTAACCAACACACACACGTTTCTCAGGTAGCTCAGTGGTAAAGAATCTGCCTGCAATGCAGCAGATGTGGGTTCAACCCCTGGGTGGGGAAGATCCTCTGGAGAAGAAAATGACAACCTGCTCCAGTATTCTTGCCTGGTAAATTCCGTGGACAGAGGAGCCTGGTGGGCTACAGTCAATGGGGTCACAAAAAGCTGGACATGACTTAGTGAATGAGCACGCATGCATCCTTTTAACATGAAAGAATAATCAACTTAATGCTCAAATGGTAGATACCCAGAGAGAAGCTTCAGTTAATTACAGGGCAAAAACTTCCTCCAAATTGTTTCCATTTTCACTGTAAGTCAGGAGGAAGATGAGGATTCCTATGGCAGGAAAGCATTAGCTACGTTAGCTACACTTTTTATGAAATCCTGTCCCTGAGAACACTGTAGATGATATTTGCTTACTCGGAGACAATGTGTCCATCGGATTTCCTGTTTTAAACATAATTCTCTTAATTTGTACTGATCTTAAATTTCTCCCAAACCAAAATTATGAATATCTAAGAAACTCTGTAGTATAAGACCATAACAGATTTATATTCTTTTATCTTAAAATCTCCAAATTCTAGGGTTACGTGAGGTTCTAAAGTATGTGAGGGAAGATTGAGTTTGAAGACTGAATTAATAATTGCAGTAACTTGACTTTTGATCTGTGTCTTGGTCAACTCTTAGTATCACCATTAGCTTCATTTCTGTGTTTGTAGATGATACCTGGGCAGTGTGTTCATGAAGTGATTTCACTCCACTTGTGCACATCCCAGGTTTCCTCTCCTGCTCACCTGTTCCAGGCCCTGGCACTCCAGGACACCTCTGTGATGTTGGATTTGATTGAGAGGCTGCGTTGGGGGACATGGGAGTGAGCCTGCCTGGCAGCAGTGGGGCTCCGTTCTCTTTCCATCATGTCCTCTGCTGTCCCGATTCCTGGAAATTAGAGTCAACAGGAAAGTGTAGTAGGCGCCATAGAGGTTTCTAATTCATGGAAGAAATAGCTAGTAACAGTAAAGACCCAAAATGAGGTAAATAGAACCCTAGGCTTCCTGGATAGATTCCAAACACAGGCTGAGTTTTTCATTTAAATGATTTTGTGCTTGATTTGATCATTTTGGAGAGTACTGGGTCATTTTAAAGCATTTTCCAGATCTCGAGGTGGATTGATTTTGATTTGTTATTTTCTTTTCTTTCTCAGAGCTATTACTTGGATAATACATTTTTACAGATGCTTACTATACCTTGCTATAATGTGCAAAATATTGCTGTCCTACATTTTCTCTGTTTTTAACATAATATTTTCTCAGCAGCCCCTCCTTGCACACCAATTGTCCCACTTGCCCTGCTGGCTTCGTCATTCCTTGTGACTCAGATGGTGGTGTCAGGGCCAGCAGCACCTGAATCACCTGGAACTTCTTAGAAATGCAGAGTCTCAGGCTCACCCAGACCTCTTGGCTCAACATCAC